TATTACTTTGAAGATTTGCTAAAATCAGGACATAGGGCTCTTGTACAGTACAAAACATTCATTAGCCTATACTTTGATCGTCTATTATCATTATCGCACAGTTTACAATAAGGAAACTGTAACAGGAGAGGAGATTTTAAAGCCACATGTCGCCTGCTTGTTGACGTACAAGTTCCCGAGTGTAACAACTTCGGCTTTTCCATACCGCGCATGGCGGGAAACTCTGCTCCCTTATTTGATAGGAAATATCAATAGCCCCATAAATTCATTAACTACGCCACGTTTCAGAAAATGAGACTGGAAAATGTTTTTTCCACTTTCCACCATCAAGAAATTCCACGTATAGAAATAGTATTTGTAGGGTTACTGCGTGACTTTTCATGAGAAGTAAAAATTGTTCATCTTTTTTTTTCAAGAAGATACTTCTAGAAAGTTCTTTATCCTTCTGCTATCTTATTTTCCTGTTTTTTGACTGCAAATATCATTTGCATTTGCTATTATTTTCGCTGATTGTCATGGCCTTTCCTGCGTGCACGTGCGAGCTAGTTCATATACAGAACTCTTTCGAGTTTCTCTGGGTGGTGTCGGGCTTAGGTGTGTAGGTCTGGCACAAAAGATATCTGCACGCTGCAACACGGGTTCCTATGTTTTCTCCTTTTTCTTGATTTGGATTTTCAGTCTCTTGCTTGCATTATCACACATTTATATTTTTTTTATTCACTCAGCGCGTTCCCTCAGATTTGGAAGTAGGCCATGAAAAGTCAATATTGACCAGAACTGAAATCCTTTTCTATCACTATTTGTTTCAGAGAACCCCCGTCATTTGTGACTTTATTTCTCAAGAAAATGTGTTTTCATTTGCTATTTATTTCCATTAGAACATGAAACTAGGTCCTGATAAGTTTTTTTGTCTCGTGACTCCCAAAAACTGTGTTTGCGACAACATCAATTGAGAAATCAAAGGCAATAACGCCTGAGAAATTCGCTTGTAGCCTTCTACCCGCAGAAGGCAACTCCATATAATGAAACGTTCTAAGACCTCTATAAACTAGAGACATTGCGTGATGTTGAGGGGTGAAATATTTACACTAAATCTGTGACCCTCAAGCGGATCACGTACTCGTACATGCATATGTAACGTCCGGAAAATGTCACGCATGTATAACACCGTAGGCGCACCTGGCGAATTCTATCCACTGGCTTCAATAGCAAAGAGACAACTTATTTACTATTTGTATATGAGCAAGCTTATTTACCCCTACTTGAAAAAATCCTTGATGAAGTCAACTATTTTCAGACGAAACGCGTGGGAGATAAATACAAGTTTTTACTTTCTCAGTTCGTGCAGAGATGCTCACTAATTTGTTCCGTTAAAAACGCTTTTAATGTGAAGTCACATCGACCTCGACAGAAAAATTAAGCTCACCCTGTCATAATCGATGGTTTGATACCGTAAGTACCAATTTAGGTACATCGTTGGGCTTTGATCACAAAAAAAAATGTGCGTTTCCTCACGCTTGCCACGTTTATTCTTTGGAAAATTATTTTACTGGAGGGCGAAGTCCCTTACCTTGGCGCGTCTTGACTCTGGCCGATGAAAATTATCGAGGTGAACTCCATGAAATTCTAGTCAAATGTTTTAAAAACTTTGTCTACCCTTGATTTGCACGCAGAAAAAAAAGGCAAATTCCGAACGGTATTTCAAAACATTTTATTCATTAGTCAATTTATGAACTGTTTTATAGCAGCCCGAGGAAAAAGCAAAATTGAAACAACCGGCGTATCGGTGAAATGAATTCCAATTTTTTCAACAAGGAGTTGGTAAGTTCATTTTCCTTGTAAATTTAAGTGGGGGTCTTTTTTTGTGACAGCCGATCAAAGATAGACATCTCTGAAACGTCTCTGAAACTCTTTTTAAAAAGAGTTTACACTTCCGGTAATATTTTCCTCTTTCTCGCAACAGCGCAACAGACATTGTTAATCCTATGTAGTGTAGGTGTATCAGTTGTATTACGTCTTCATAGTGATGCCATATAAGAAATCGAGTGTCTAAAAAGCCCTCAATTCAATCTAACACTCGAATTGATAAAGTCAAGATGGTGCAGTTGTCTTGTTCATTTGCAACTAACTGTAGAATCAAATGTTATTTTTCTCGCGCTGGCCAGGGACGGCAACAGCTCATACCTCTAAATTCGTGGGTATACAGCTTAAAAAAAACATTTGAGAGACGTCGATGTATCCCAAACATGCGTTTCGTCCGAGATGGAGCTTATTCTAGCGCGTATTGGCTTATTTAGAGATTACGAGGGCCGCGATTTCACGATGTACCTCAAATATCGTGCACAACTTGGTGTGAGATTCAGACTTTCGGGTTCGTAAATGCCAGTATCCTCCTCATAAAATTCGGAGACATAACGTGAGAGAGAGATGAATCTGCAGATGGCAGAAGAAATCAAAGCTGGTGGCGAGTCTTCCTGGTGGCGGCAAGGTGACTGTAAACCTAAATAGAACGCGTACTGTAGCTGCTATCTTAGAGTCGGCAATGAATAAGGAAGAAGGGCAAGAAGAGCCCTTCTCTGAACATCAGTTTTCCTAACTGGTGATTTGTGACTGAGAAGAACTTTATACCATATGATTGCTAGGGATACGCAGTTACTGTAGAGGCGCTCACATAAATAGAGGTGGGCGATCCTCCCTCTGACTTAAGAACTGCGACAAGTTTATAGCGCAGACCAACTGGCGCGTTTTGAAGCACCTCAGGGTCTCACTAGGCTCATCACATTAGAAACCTTCAGCAAACTAATCATAGAAGCAGGTGGTTATCAGCAACGTGCACAGATTTCTGAACGCGGGTCATCGCGAGAACTATACCCAATCCTTCATAGACGGAACAAGAAAGCGAGATATTCTTGCTAAAAGAAGGATGTATCAAGACGTTTCAGTCATTGGCTGCCATCCAAATGTACCCTGACAAAGACAAACACAGTGAAGCCGACAAAAAAATTCCGCCTAGGATAAGATCAAGAGGAAATGGACTAAGACCGGCTTGCCATTCTATAGGGGATGGCTACGTTCAAGGTCGGACCTTAGGTTAAAATTCTGACGAACAATCCCTAACTAGCCAAGTGGACTTTGGATGGGCTCTTTGGAAAACACAAAAAACAGCCACCTTTTCTTAGAAAGCAGAGAATTATCTCCTAGACGTGTGCTGGACAAGGGAGGAAACTAGTAAGGCAACCGCCTCTGATGTGATTTCCCAAATATCGAGAGAGTTTAAGAGACGACACCAGCCAGAAATGTTGTCTAGGACTGACCGGTTGATACAGCAGCAAATCGCTCGATACTTCAGCCGGTTATCTGCCGTAACAAAAAGAGGTTTATTGATGAGGTCCCCCTCTGTAAATATGAATGAGGACGGAGAGGCCGATGCCGATGATCTAGCTTCAGAATTCGAAATTGATCGAACAAGGCAGAAGATAAGGAGGGACCTTACAAAATTTAGACGAAGACTGCAGGAGAGGGTACAGTTGCTATTAAGCTAAAAAAAAAAAAGACATTTGCATCTCACTTTTCTTTCATATTTATTGTCTTTGCTCACGAAAACAACTGGCTATGTCTTGGGATTTCATCAAGGGAAATTTGCAGGAAGGCTACTCGTCAAATTATCAAATTTTCCATTCCTACAAAAAATCTCGAACGTTTTTAACATTTTTAACCTTTCTTGATCAATCATCTTGTATAAAGAACTAAAAAATGTAGGTTTATTTTGTCAAGTGACCGCCTAGAGCAAGAATTGCGTGACAGGTGTAGTTAAGAGAAACTTGTCACAGTCGCAGATTTTAAAAGGCATCCAAGACAAAAATACGGTAATACCCAAATAGTTTTTTGATGATTTTCAGAGATCAAATGATGGGTTATAAAGGGTAATTAAGATTAGTGTTGTAGCTTTCAGGCAATGGGAGATATTTGACCTCAAAGTTGTCAAATATTTGGATAAATCGAAAAGTCTATAAACAAAGTCGTATATTTGCCTCTGTTGATTGACAAGCCATCAATCAAACTGACTGATACTCACAGCAGACATTAACAAAGGATATAAAAAATATGTGTGCAAATCCTCAAAGTAATCAGTTGAATACCATCGCAGTGAGAGCTTCATACATTTTACCTATTTGAAGCGATTTCCTTGGTGAAAACCAAGAAAAATCGGGGGGGTGGTCTATCCTCCCCCGGAAAAAAAACCAAAACAGAAACCAGTTTGTCTTTTTGAGTTTTGGGGTAGACCCTTTAAACTGGTAAAGTTTCATTGAAATCGGTGAGATGGCATGTAGCACGACTGCCCGGTGCTCTCGTGGACACGCTCTTAACATATCTGACACCTGTGACTCATTGAACTTAAGGAACTAAAATATTCATGCTGAAATTTTGCTTTGCATTCTGCTTTGAGTTCTTCATCCCGTTCAAAATAATATTCTCATCATGATTAATGCAAAGTAATGGCGTAACAGTCAAGAGCTGGATTTAAATGTACATCAGGGTGGTCTCGACCTCTTAATTAAAGTCAATTGAGACAAGATTGATCTCCATTTAACCTCATTTAACTTTAGAGTGTTGAGTTCTTTTTATTACTATTATTATAGCACAGCTAACATATCTAACCTCTCACAATTGCCTTAAGGAAAGTTGGATTTAACTCAATGGCTGCTTCTGCATCCCTTAGTGAATCCTGGTGATTTCCTGTTATTGAAATAAATATCTCTGATTAGCCATACATGTTGCAAACCAACTACCATTACTATCATTTTGGGAAAAACTTGTGATGCTCATTGATATCTGGGGTAAGAGGTTACTTCTTTGTATATTTGAGAGGCCAAGATAAGATGTAAATTTTTCCGGGAATGCATTCAAAATCATCACCTTTTTCAGAAAACTACTACTGACAACTCAATAGCTTCAAAATAGAAAAAAAAAAAGCACATTAAAGCTCTCATCATCTTACCAAGTTTAGAATGTGCAATTGCCCTGTTGTTGTGCAGTTTGGCCTTCAGTTCTTTGTCATTGCAGTTGATTTTAATTCCTTTGGTGTAAAAATGAATAGCATTGATGAAATCTCCTTTATTGAAGGCCTCATTACCCTCATTCCTATAAACATCAGCTGTGGCTGCAAAGAAAAAATAAAATAATTCCAAAAAAAATTTAAAAATGGGTGTGAAAGTCTGTGGTCGTAGTTAATAATTATTCGTGTATAGTCAGAGCTGCCAAGATCTGGAGATTTCAAATCTGCAGATTTTCAATAGTTATGATGATGCTAATGATGCAGGTGACAACATGGGTAAGAATAATGATGAGAATTAAGCATCACTCAACTTGAGGCAAACCCCTGGAGATGAGAGATTTTGGAGATAGGTTTCCTAAAATTCCTATTCCCTGAGCAAAATTAATAAAATGTTAAAATGCCCCACACAATCTTATGTAAAAGGCGAAATAATTAGCAATTTCACTTTCCACTAGTACTTTCCACTAGTTGATCAAGCTTTAAAAACTAATTGACCAAGCTTTAAAACCTAGACCTTGAAGCCTTATTTCTTCTGAGACATTTGTTAGTGAAAGTGCACTATCTGCCTTAAACACCTCCATATTCAATGATAATTAACACTTATACTCTACTGGAAATTAGATGTGACAGTTTTTATTCAAATTCCCTAACGCCAGTCAGGCAGGGTTAAACCCCCTCCCCCCCCTCCCCACCCTCTTTGGCTTGGATGAAGATCAAATGCCTGTGGGTTGCTCGAGGAGAAAGGAGGGAATGTTGAAGGTTTCAAAGTGATTATGTTTCATTAAAATAGAAAGATGATGGTGATGACGATGATGGTACCTATGATGCAAACTTACAATGGATGTTATATGATGATCAAATAAAGTCTTAACTTATTATAACTTTGTGTTATTGCTTTGAACTGTTAGAAAAGAAAATAGCAAAAGTTTCTGTGTCATAGATCTTCTCAATGAACAGCATATTGTAATCATAGAAGAGAGTCATGACTGGCCAAATATCCTTTAAAGTGGTCATACAGTGTATGTATCCTTTTCCACATCTGCTTGCATTCTTGAAACTGATCGAATAGAAATTGCTCTAACAATAACTGAAGCCGAAGTTGAACCTAGCTCACCTCGTAAAGTGTCCTCATCAAAATCTGGTGCATTTTCTTTGTCAGGTAAGTCTTCATTTTCACATGGAACTTTAATTGAACTTCTTCCTGTAGCCATAGCAACTGTAAGAAGACTGATGCTTCTTAAAAAGTTGTTCTTTTAAGTCATCCTGACCTGAAAAAAAGGTGATTGAAAATGGTTGTAAATATCAGTTCAACATATTACCCAGTAGTAAAATAAATATTATTTCCCCTCTGAGAATGGGAGGGATACATAGACACAAAACCAGAAGCCAGTTAAGAGCTAATGTCAACATGCATCAGACAAACAGCGGCAAGTCGCCCAAATTCGTTTTCTCTCCTACTTTCATATTTTGTAGCCCAATACAATTTGAAAAAAAATCTAACTTAACACTCTTACCTAGTTTATTAATGATTTTATAAGACCAATAAGCTGTTTCGGTCATTATATTACGCTTGGGTATTACTTCTTGCCGGGAGCCCAGGTTTTACGTTGTGTTTTCCCCTATCCCAGCTATATCAGAAGCTAGTAACGCAATAACTGATACCAACACAAATGAATATTTACCCTGTATGAAGATTGTTGTTTATGTTGAATTGACAATATTACAATATGTTACTTTTGTGGTCACTTATCGTTGTTTCAGTGGCAGCGTAACAGTTCAAAGCGGGTTGTTGCTTCAACGCTATTGAAATTTATAGTGTCCTGGCAGGAAAGCATAGCATGATGCTCTGGGAATAAAAACTCCTAGGGGCCTTTTACATAATATGGGAATGAGGTTTGTTCAAGAATGAGTTTATCTCGGTTGCTACATGATACCAGAGTAAAATTATTCGAAACGAGTCATTTCTGAATGAGTTAACTGAGGTTTTCATTCCAGAAAGAAACACTTATTCTGGACGACCTTCTGTACCTGTATAATGTAAACGCGCTACGACACTCATATCTGTATGAATCCTCTGTAAGAGCGAGGGAAGTATAGAAAAGGGACGTAAATACTTGTTTTTACTACCTGTTTTTATAATCTAAGTTATCTTGCATGTCAACGTGGCATGAAATTCATTTCATTCCGGAATGAAACCCATTTTGTAATAATGTAAAAAGTACCTTATTGACGGACCATTAGATTTTTGATGCGGGGTGGGGGGGGGGGGTTGCCAATTGCACGATTTGTTTTCCTACATTAAGCCCGTGCTCGATTTTTTCGGGGGTTATTGCCCAACATCCCAATACTCCCCCGCATCAAAAATTTAATGGCCGGTCCCTAAGATACTATCAGGTCCTACAACTTTTCCTGTGATGAAAGAATTTGGATATATATGTATTACTCGCGTTGTTGTTGTTGTTTTTTTTTACATTACCGAGCGAATTTCAAGTGATAATTTCAGGAAGTTAGAAGCAACAACAAAAGGATTCCTATCAAAGTGAGGTGCCATTTTCAGTTATACCTGATCGGACACCTTGAAAACAAAGGGTGACACGCAAGCAGTTTACTGCATATTTGACATGAAAACTGTTCGTGGATCTTGACAGGAAAATGAAAGATCCTTAAAGATCTTGGAAAGAAAATGAAAGATCCTTGAAGATCTTGACAAGAACTTTGAAGATCCTTGAAGATCCTGGCAAGAGAATGAAATATCCTTGAAAATCTTAACAAGAATTTTGAAGATCTTTAAAGGTTCTCATAAAGATCTTTTAGGATCGTTAAAGATTCTTCAAAGATTTTCATCAGGGATGTGTCACAACAGGGCAAAAAATATAGAAAGCGCTCGCCGCATCGGCACTTTTTTTTCGTTGTTTTGGTAGCCACTTTAGAAATTTAGCCAGGCATTTTAAGGTTGGTAATTTAAATGTGATATATTATAGAGTACATGTAAATACGCTAGTCATAAAATCAGCTGTCCATTGTTTGCAACTCTGCACAATTATCATGATAATATGCGAAACTTTGTTCGACCATTTCCGCTTGTCGACAAGTCTTTCCACTTGATACAATTTTACCCCGGGTTTATATTTCCTTTTGCCTTTAGAAGCAATAATAATCTACACGATCTTTACTTCTTACCGATCGCGCCATGTTGTTTTTTTCAACCACACCTTCGGGCATGCTCCGTAGAACTTTGAGTACACCACAGTCAGGGGGTATGGCACTAACGAAATGACTCGGATTAATTGTAATGTTTTCTTTCTTTCATATTGGACTATTTCCTTCTGTCATTTCAAACTAAACTAATAGATAAATATTCGCCACCCAGAATGCCTTCAATGAAAATCACCAACGGGTAGCACTCATGATTTTATGTAGAACAAACAAATGCAATTAGGCAATCTCATTTCAAATTTTCGTTAAATTTCCGACTCGAGTTATGACGAACAAGAACGAGCAGCATGTGGTTCACTCGTTATTTATGTAGGACAAAAAAAAGGGCAAAGAAGACGATCAATTATTCCAAAATCTATGTGCAAGCTGGATTTCAGCTTATTTTCATTTTCTACAGGTGTGCTGATAAATATTCAGTTACGCTGTGTTCTTAATATAACCTACATTTTTCAAAAGAAGTCAAATGTGTTAAAGAATTCGTATTTTGATTTGTCGCCTTAAATTTTTCTCTGACTGAAAATACCTGCTAAGTTTTGTATCATTTAATAAGCAAGGAGCGTTTTACATCTCCCCTCGAAACATATGTTTGTGTCAACTGCTTCCTCTTTCAATTTCTATAATGCGAACAGGATATAACACGTTGACGGTAGTTTATAATCAAAATAAAAAGGAAAAAGGCTTCAGATTATCTCGTAACACTCAGTTTTCTCGGTTCTCACTAAATATTCTTCTAAACAAATAGAGTAAGCAGGGACACAGCACTTTAGATCGATAACATTTTCATAACTTGCTCTTGTCTGCGATCATATGGTCTAGTGTGTTGTTGCCGGCTCACTTTGCTGAAAGACCTATATGAAACCAGGACCCCACGCCTCATACTGGATTGTCTTTATTTTACAATGTAAAAAGTTTTTCTTTGTTAATACAAACTGGCAATGTTACTGATGGAACACTGCGAGTGGGTGAGACAAAAATCCACTTGGTCTAATTAATTATTTCAGAGCTTACCTTAAAACGACGTTTCGTCAGCGATGCAGCGTTGAATTCGTCCTTAAGAACCTGTTAAATTTGTAAAATTTTGCAAGACCGAAGATATTTTGATGAGTTCTTCAGAAGGTGACTTATAACACGAACGGTGTCGAGAGGGTACTCTTTTCCTAGTGATCTCACGACGTAGGAATATTTTGATTTTACTCCTCTGAAATTTAGCTCGTGATAACTTAGAAGCAACGCTTCGAGCTGGGGATGGCAAGCGTTAAAAATTTCTCGCTGCCACCAAAGATGTTCACTCGACCGCGACAGGATACAAATGACTCACTTTTTGTTTACGACCATACTGATGTTTTTACCATTGCGTGACATTCTCAGGAAAACCAAAAGTTGATGATACATTGTGAACTTTCCCGAGGAAATGAGTCATGAATAGTGAATAATACACGGGCGCGCGTAAATGTGAATTTGGTTGGTGGAATAGAATTCAAGCACGTAAAAAATTGACAAATGTTCATGTAGTGCAATGATTGGGTATGTTCTAACGGACTTCGGACGCTGTTTTAATGGTACGTGATGGGATGTGAGTTGTTAGGCATGTAACAAAAAAAGAGCATGACTTTCAGACGGACGAAAATATCGCGTTACTTCACCTTGAGAGAAAATAAAACTTAACTTACCTGAACTCACACCACAGGCAGCCCAAGCTCCAGCTGTGAGATGATCATCTTGCGAAATAAGATTCAAGGTGATTTTTTCGGATTTTCTTCATCTGGCGGTGACATACCTGAGTATTTTTAGGAGCTGTGCCGTATTTTTACTTCCCCCACAGGCTCGTCGAATTCAAACAAGGAGTGAAAATACTAGGCAATACTACACACCAATGAATAGTCTACTAGGATATTTATGATCCAACTGCTTTTTTTTCTGCCAAGTCTTTCTGCTCATTTCTCATAAGGCGGGAAAAGCAAAGTGGATAGAGAAGCGCAGCGTGCGCAGCCTACCGGTCAAACAGATTTTTTTACAGAACAAAATAACCAACTGTACACATGTGGTATATATATTCGCGTTATTTGAACTCTACCTTGTGCAGTTGGATTATAAAATCAAATTATCTCGTTGTACCCCTCACCGATGCAGCACCACAATTTCCCTTATAAACTAAACCCATTTATTCATACGTTGTTAATTACAATGCCTGCAGCTGTTGCGTGGCCAAAAGCAACCAAAATATACTTAGTAGACTGCACTTGGAGTAGAAACCTCCAAAAAACTTAGCATACTTTGTATACACATACCTTAACATTACTAAAATACTTCTCGAGCGCTTCACATAACATTATTCTCTCACTTTCATACGATTTAATTAGCTATACTTTATGTAATTACTTTTATTATTTTGACATTTTTTCTCAGTATTTTTACATGTTTCCTTGTTACTCTAAACGCTTAACTTATGAGGTAAGTCTTAGAAACACAATCTACAAGCATTCCTCATGTTCGAAATGAGAGAAAACGAGTAGCTCCTAGGACGAGAGTGGGCACCCTGTGATTTTTCTTTCCTTCCAAAGTAATGCGGTTGCAAAGGATGTTCCTATCGTCGTTGAAAAGCCTTTCCCAAAAGAAACTTATTCCCCAACTGCGCTCCCTGACACAAATAAAACAATAATCGCTTTTCGGCACAGAGAGAAGTTTATTAAGAATACGAACGAGAAGTAAACAACAGCCAATGATGTGTAAACCTCTCTGCCACCCTATGACATCACGTAAAATCACCGAGAGTGGGAGAGTAGGTGGGAAGAAAAACAAAACAGTACAAGACAAAATATCTGGTGTTCGCTTGAGGTGAAAAATGACATGAAATGAAACACAAAACTCCTGAAGCCTGGACGTGTGTTGCGTGTGAATTGGTTTAGGAAAACAAACGTCACGACTCACAGAAATAACAGCATTGATCTTGTGTGCCCTAGTGATTAAGGCACTAGGTTCCAGGTTAAAGTCCTTT